CATAAGCTTGAAACTTGATAAAAAGGAAACATACTTGCCTGTTTTCAATCTTACTCAACTCAAGGAATACTCCAAACTACTCAAACTTACTCAACTCAGAAGTACTCAAGGATAAGATACTCAACTCAGAGATTAGATACTCAACTCAAGGATATGATATTCGACTCAAAGATATGATATTCGACTCTGGATACTCAACTAAATATGACTGAACTCATTTCAATATAAAGCAATTTAAAACAAGTGCAATATAAAGAAACAAACTGTTTAAAAACATGCTGTCAAATCTGTGTGTATGCAAGGATACAACATAACTCTGAAATGTATATAAAAATACAATAAACTGAGGTATATAAAAATACAATAACTTCTGTGGGAGTTTCTCTAACCGACAACCATCACATAAGAGCTATAGTGATGATACAGCGATCTACCTCACGCTGCCAGCGCATCCTATACCCGGCCAAAGGTATAGAACTTGAACTACTAATGGATCCACTAGTCTATGTGAAAAGGATTCATCTAAAAAGTATGACCCTTTTCTACCCATGATGGCTACATGGTTTATGGGGGCTGTGAGTTGTCTGAACTCTCCCCCATATCGGTGCTCAATACTACTCCCAAAAATATACTAGCTCTTATGTTTTAAAAAAAAACATACTTCTTTCTGCTGATTTGAGATAATTGCTCAAAAACTTAGCTCAAAGGCTATCTTGAAAATCTCAGTTTCCCTGCTTGCTTCATTTAGAAAGCTATTACTCTTTTCTGAAAACTAGCCCGAAGACCCTTTGGAAATCTCAGTTTCCGTTCTTATTTAAATGTGAAAACATTTATAAACTCTTTGGAAATACTTAGTCCCCATATACTTTTGAAGAAAAAGACTTCAAACTTTACTTTTTACTCTTTACTGAACTCAAAACTTAAGTCTTAAAACAAAGTTAAAACGTTTGTAAAAGACTTCTTAAAATATGGTTCATACCAAATTATAGACAGGAACAACTCAATGCAAGGTTTTCAATAACTATATATAGAACTCAAATACTTGGAACTCAAGAACTTCAATGATACTACTAATTTCAAGAATGCTTAACTCAGAGGGTTCATGCGGAATTATGAGCATGAAGTACTCAACTCAAGGACTCAAATCTACTTCTCATCTCAAGATTGTTCGACTTATAATGTTCATGTGGAATTATGGGCATGAACAATTCAACTCAAGGACTTCATGGGTAACATGTAATAGTGCCATGATTATAAATATAATTTCATAGGGGATTAGGAACTCAATACTTAGAACTTGAAGATACTACTCCTCTCAAAGATACTCAACTTCTGGAGTTCATGCGGAATTTATGGGCATGAACGACTTGACTCGTAGGTCTACATAACATTATAAAACTCATGTATGTGTCTCTTCTCATTCTCTGACTTACTTCCTCAAAACTTAGTTCAAATCGATAGTTGATCTCAAAGGATTCACAATTGAACTCAAAGGCTTCCTTGAACTCTACTCTTAACTCTCTCTTGAATTTGAATTATGAATTCAAGAGTTATGATTCATGATATGAAGGATCTCAATAACAATATAGCTATTCGATAATTAGGAATAGAACTTTTAAAAGAAATATGAATTCAAGAACTCAAAATCAACTTATCTCAAGTATCCTAGATTACTCTTTTTCTGATCTGAAAGTAGATGTAGGGCGTGAGGACGAACTAGTCCAACACTATGATAGGCTTACATACCTAGAAGAACAAGATTCTTGAAGAATCTTGAAGAAGAACTTGATTAGAAGCCTTGAAACCCTAGCTTGAAGGTAAACAATCAAGAAGACCTTTCTTGAGATTCTCGAGTTAGTTTATTAAAATCTCTATAGCCAAAAATTATGATTTTCATGAGTAAAGATGAAAATCCGATTGTTTTGAGCTTTTTAATTAGTCAAGAAATTCGTTGATGGTTTTTCTTGGAGGTAAAAAGACAAAAACGATTATTTTCACGTCGGCTAATTCGTAACAGCACTGTATAGGTTACTAAAATAGTCATAACTTTTTACTAAGATATTGGATTGACGTGAAACTGGTGGGGTTAGAAAGTAGATTCAATTACCTTTAATTGGATAGGTTATGGCTCACGTAACTCTTAATATTCTAAGAGATATGGTCGTTTAAAGTTGACCCAAGCAAAATCTTACATCAAAACATAATGAAACTTCAAGAACACTTATCAAGAACTCTAATCTTTAAATTTCAAGAACGAAATTACGCTGAATAAATCATGATTGGTGTGTGGGTGAAAGAACCCAACACTATGGAAGCTTACATACCTCTTAGGGATTAAACCCATGGCGAAAATCCGCAACAAGATGCAAGAATCTCGACGAACGCTTTCATCCTTTCTCTTTTCTCCTCTTTTCTCTTCTTCTTGAACTCTCAACTAAAACCCTAGGTGTATTTTAGAATTATAAAACTGAACCTAATCAGATTAGACCCCTAAAATATTACTAAAAACGAATTAAATCTGATTGGGTAAGGAAAAGACCAAAATACCCCTTTCTATTTTCGGCTAACCTTCCTTAACTGGTCAGCCTATCTTCAAAAGGTCATATCTCACTCATCCGACCTCGAAACTTAGCAAACTCAGCGGCGTTGGAAAGATAATTTAAAGATCTTCGCTACGGTATCTTGTAGTACACCTAATTCATCCTGAGCTAGGAGTTATGGTTGTTTGAAGTCGACCCAAAACTCATACTTAAGCATAACTTGCAAAATTTCAGATTTTGCTATTTCCAATTTAATTCTTTTTGAAACTCAAGGTGCTACATCTAGTGACCTTAACACTTAAGAAATTTTAAACTCCTTGGTAAAATCTCACTCACTACGAAGAACGGTTCGAGTAAGGTTCAAAAAATTTCTGGGGTGTTACAAACAGGTCATGCATACGTGATACAAAGTGTTTTATCTAAAACGTATAGAAGGAGGAGTTCAAGGTTAAGGAAGTTTTCTTAATCAATTAAGGAAAACTACTACGCGTAAGTTTTTCTGAAAGAAGTCAAGTGCAAATAGGAGTCCAAATCAAGTTTGAGTTGAACAAGGCATTTAAGGCGGTGAAGACAAGTTCGAGTTGAACAAGACTTTGAGGAAGCGTGATCTATAAATAGGACAATAGTTTCTTTGGAGAAACTTGCGCACTTACAATGAGAGAAAAATCAAAACACGATCAAGAGTTTTGTGAGGGTTTTGATATTTACTTGGGGAGTGCTGTGAATTGAGAGAAATATTGTACGATTGTAGTCAAGAGTTTTTGAATACAATCAAGTGTTTGTGAGTAGGTTTCGTTTAACAAGTTTGAGGAACTTGAAGAACGATAGAAGACCTAAACCTGGGGTTTTTTTGTCTTGGGTAGCTAGGGATTAGAGTTTATAATTCCTTAGGTTACTTAATTGTATAATTGTTGTGTTATTTGAAGGTGCTATAAATAATACGAAGTTTTGAACGAGTTATTTTGTTTACTGTTAACTTCAAATAGTGAGGAACAAGTAGTAATTATGTGTTCCTTTATAGAATTAAGGAGGTACGAATTCCAATACATAGTCTCTTTCTCTTTCTACTAAAATATTGTGGTAGACTTCAAGTTCCAAGTGGAGTTCATGTTTGTTACACACTTTAATGTTCTCTGAGTTCTTTTATTTCAAAATTAAGTAATATGTCAGTCAACTACTCTCCAGATTGTGCGTGGATAAAACTGCTATTGTAAGAAAACCAAATTAGACTGTTCTCTTTTTTCTCTTGAGAAATCATTTTGTGGGTTACTACTGCAGATAATGAAGAATATAACAATATCTCCTTTCAAGTTTTGGTACTCTTTCCAATTTTGATCAGATCATATGCCCTGTATGAACAAAGATGGCTTAGATTATAACACATTATATAATAATAATTTAGTTAAGTAACCTTTCAATTAATCTTTTTCAATAGGTAAAAATTTGATCAGACGCAAGTCCTCCTCATTAGGAAATCTCTCGACTGCAAAATTTTTTGATAATATTTTGAATAATTAATAGATAGATTAATACATCAAGATTATATAATAATAATTTAGTTAAGTAACCTTTTAATTAATCTTTTTTAAGAGGTGAAAAATAAATATGACAAGTAAAATGAACTAGAGTAGTACAATGTTCAATATTAAAATATATAATGTATTACTTCATTAATTATGCATAACTTTTAGATTAATAATTAATATTTGTAACAGTTTATATGTAGAGATTGCATTTAATACTACTTCTAGCAACATTAAAGATCACAAGGATTTCGTAAATCCCTATACTTATTATAATTACATATTTGACACATGTTTCTTGCTCAAAGATAATTTGACTATAAAAGTGTCCTTTAGCAAAAGAAAAAGAACCAGAAATAAGAAAATCAAAATGGTTGTTGAGATATTTATAAACCATTGATGATATAGAGAAGAAATTCATACCATCAAAAAATAATTTAACAGAGTACTAAAACAAATTACTTATTCTATCTTTTAAATTAATAGTAATCCACAAGAACATACAATTGATTTTTTAGTGTGAAAATTCCTTCGAAATGGTTAATGCATGCATCAATAACACTCATATATATATATCTTCTGAAATTGAATTGTGATATTCTAATACTTCATACAATTTAATGTATAAACTGAGAGTTTGAGACCAGTGAGTTTTCTTAAAGAAAGAACTATTTGAGAAAATAAAACAACAACTTTCAAGAGGGGTCAAATTTTCATATTAAAAAACAACAAAAATGACGAAACTGGAAATGATTTATATCTAGCTACCTAGAGAAGCACCATTTTCTATGACATGGTCAAACATAACAAACTATAAATCTAATTTTGTTTTGTCTTACCCCATTTATAACTAAAAAAGAAACATGACTAGAAGACAAAAGGTGCACATAATAGAGTTGTTGGAGAGGGGAAAAAAGATCAATTCCTCTTGTTCATTTCATTCCCATAAGATGGAAGCAGTAACTTCTTGAAATTCTTCAAACCCCATGAAAAAATTGTCATACGCGTTCTCCTCCTCTTCACCATCGTCTTTGTTCTCCGTGACAACATCAACCGTTTTATTGTTTCTCTCAATTTCAAGTGTAGTTGCAGTTTGACTAATTGAAGAGGCTTCAACTTTGAAACGCTTAGCACGCTTGGACGAGGACGATGATGCATTCAAGTTTAACACTTTGGGCACAATATTTATGCTTTTTGGAAGTTTGTTTTTGGCACTATTGTTAAATAAAGCAAGAGATCTGCGATATGTAGGAGGATCGTGGTTGTGTTGACCAGAATAGGACACAAATAAATAGTTCTCATTCTTTGGGCTTTTCTCAATTATTTTCTTTGCTTGGCAGAATCTTGATGTACTACACTTAAAGTAGTTCCTGATATATAATATACACAAAAAATAATTAGTACTGATCAAATATTACACTTGTCTATATTTACCATTAATATTTTTTTACTACTTTTTATCATGAAAATTGAGAACTAACAACATTTTCTATGATATGATAGAATGATGAAGAGAGCAAACCTCGGAAATGGAGAACCTTTGATTGACTTCTGACCACACTTACGCCATGCCCATTTATCATTTGTGAATTCCTCTTGCAACACTTCATAGATAACTCTTGTTGACTGATTTTTTCTGATTTCAAATTAAAAGTATTAAAATAAAAACTCTGAACACATACACTTAAAATTTAACAGAGGAAGTAGTTACCTTTTACAAGTTTCAATCAGAGGAGTCTTCCTGGGCATACTTAAATTAGGATAAACTTGATCCTGCATCACAAATTGTTGTTGTAGATCAAACGATTTTTGTGATGTTGTAGATGTTGTTGCCACACAAGTTGTCATTGTTGGTGATGGAGGAAGAAAAAATTGTTGGCCAAATTGAGTTGTTTGAAAGGGATGTAAGTACATCTCCTGGTTTTTATTTTGGTCCATGATTATGACCTGATCATCTAATTTTTTAGGTTGTTGTTGTAGATCGATCAATTCTTGTGGTGTTGTAGTTGTTGTTGACATACATGTTACCGTTGTTGGTAACGAAGGAAGAAGGATTTGTTGGCCAAAATGAGTTTGTTGAATGGGATGTAAGTATTGGTCCATAATTATGACCTGGTCATCAAAATTTTCAAGTTGTTGTCGATCAATCAATTCTTGTGATGTCGTAGTTGTTGTTGGCACACATGTTATTGTAGTTGGTAATGGAGGAAGAATGATTTGTTGACTAATTTGAGTTGGTTGAATGGGATGTGAGTATGTCTCTTGATTAATATTTTGGTCCATGATTATGACCTGATCATTTATTTTTTCTTGGTGAGCAACTGAAAAATCTATAGAGAAAATCTCTGATAAGTCATTAAAATTAGGCATGTCAGTAGAAAAAAATTCATCAAAAGTATTCCAATCATCATTTTCAAAAGACACCAAGCCTAAGTTAGGAGTTGTAACATTGTTAGGTTCATTACTATTACAACTTCTTACCACAGCACTTAAATCCCAATTATTATCCTCCATTTTAGATCTAGTTAACTGCAAAAAAAATGAGATAGGGGCAAGAAAATCATTAAGAATTTATTAATGTGTTTATTAAAAAAAACTAATAATATTTTCTGTGAGAGAAAAGTGAAGAAAAAGATAATAAAGGAGGCTGATTTATGAAGGAAATAACTGGGAATTTTGTTTAATGGATAGAAAATTGAAAATGAAAGACTGAGATGAAGAAAAACGAACCAGATTTGGCTTATTATATAGGGAACTTAGAGAGGTATCCACCCACTCCGACACATCCATATTTAATTAACATTTAATGAATATTTAATGTTCTTTCCCATTTCATGGTGAGGATAATCTCTTGTACCCTTTTGTCAAAGAGTCTAAAAGTTTAATCCTTTCAATTAAAAAAATCTTTAATAGTAAAAAAAGGTCCCTACGAAAAGAAAATTTACATAATTTTATTAGAGCCGTCAAAATGGGCTTAGTACATGGGGTCGGCCCAACCCAACTTATTATTGGGTAGGGTTGAAATAGGATTTTTCAAGCCAATTTAAAACTAGGGCTTTTAAGCCCTTGGCCCTCGAGTCTTGATTAGGGCCGGGTCGGAGTCGCCTCATGGGCCAAAACCATTTATTTAAGGGTAATTTACAACAATCTCACTAGTAGATGAGCTAATTAGTTAAATGCATGTTATGTTGTAATATTACGAATCTTATTGAATTTTGGTACATCCAGATACATGTATCTCAGGATACATGGACTCAAAATTAGTTTACTTTATTCTAGACACACTTTATTCAAGTGGATTCACATGTATCTAGGATACATAGACAAATCCAATGCCCTCGCCTTCCTCTCATCTCACTCGTCACTCTCTTATCTCACTCGCGTATCTGTAATGCATCACACCAGATACATGTATCTCGTGTATCTAGTATCGTATATCCATGCTAATAACACTGGATTTTTTTGCTTGTTTTATTGAAACAACACCATTATTTTCCATATTTGATTTGAAAATCTTCTCATTTTCTTGATGTTATAGAATTTTAAGTTTGAAAAGAAAAAAAAGGGTTAGCCCACCCCATCCCTCGGCCCTTCTAGGGTTAGGTTGGGTAGTGCATTCTTAGGCTCTTCCAAATGAAGGGCCGGTTCGCCCTAGCCCATCAAATTCCTTGGTCCGTGAGGCTTGGGCTGGGTGGGGCTGGACCGGCCCTTTTTGACAACTCTAAATTTTATGCCCCTTGCCTTTACAAGAATGTCAAAGTGGGGCCAATAATTATAGTCAATATTTTTTTTAAGAAAGACATTTGGTGGAACATTACCACATCACATAAGAAGATGTTAATAATTTTGATGAAGCAACTATATATGTTATAAATTTGGGCGGAGCTACTCTAGGGCAAGGGATATCAAGTGACACCCTTCGTTGGAAAATTACATTATATATATACGTCAAAATTTGGTTTAATATATATATATATATATATATATATATAAGTACTAACACCTCGTAATACAAGTAGAAGGTTTAGTGTAATGGTTAAGGGGTTACAAAAATTGTTTGAGGTTGTGTTTTCTATCTTTATATTTTGGAAGCCCTTAATACAAATCCTGGCTCCGCCATATTATAACTTGTAATGTATTGAAAAGGGAAACTACACGCATGCACTTCCCAACTTCGATGCAACACTCGAAATATTGTTAAATACAAAAGCATACATAGATTAGAACTGAAATAACTATGTAAGAAAGCATTCTTGAGGTCTAGCTGGTTAATCTCCCAATGTAAGGTGGTTGCGATCGACAACAAAATGTGAATGGTTATAGTATGACAACGGGACTAAAAGTGTCATCAAAGTCGATACCGGCAAGTTGATTATAACCTTTGGCAACGAGACGAGCCTTGAGACGAACCTTAAAGGGTTCCACTGACCCATCCGACTTTAGTTTTGTTTTGAACACCCATCTATACCCAACAATGATCATATGAGGTTGTCGAGGTACCAACATCCATACATGAGGTGTTGTTAGAGCTGGTGTAAGGCACCTTCTGCGTAGTCAACGGAAGGAGATGTATATTCACATTGAAGATGTTTGTATCCAAAACTTCTTGAAAGGTTGTAAAGTATGAAGCATAAGATTCTGCAGAGAGATCAACACTAGTAGACACATAAGATAAATACAATTCATCAAAAATAACATATCTCAAAATAAAAACCTTTCTTATATGAGGATGATAACATTTGTATCCCTTGTGAATTAGACTGTAGCCTATGAACACACAAGGGAACGTTTTTGGTTGGAATTTATTTTTATTTTGTCCCTTAAGATATGCAAAGCACCGACACCCAAAAACTTTCAGGGAGTTATAATTAGGTGTGTCCGTGTAGCTTTGAGAACGGAGATTTCGTATTCAATGTACTTGTAGGCATTCTATTAATTAGGAAGACAGCAATCATAAAGGCTTCAACCCATAAGAACAACGGTACTTTTGCATTAAAAATCAAAGTCATGACGGTTTCAACAATATGTCTATGTTTTCTTTTGGCGACTCTATTTTGTTCAGGTGTATGTGGACAAGAAACTTGTTGTTTGCCATTTTGAGCTAAGTGGTTCACAAAACCCAGACTATTAAATTCATTGTCACCGTCACTTTTAAACACAATTGATATTCGTAGAGAACTGATTTCTACTAGTTTTTGAAAGTTCAAAAAGATAGAAAAAAGTGAGATTTCTTCTTTAAAGGGTAGATCCAAGTAAATCTAGCGCAATCGTAACATGTATTTTATTCCTTGAGGTGATGCCACAAGGGCTGGTCCCCACAAATCACTATATGTTCTTTGAGGTAAATAAGACTATATGTTGTGTAGTATTTCATAATAAAGTACGATATTATAATTATATTTTCTTGCTTGTAAAACAAAAACAATGTCTGAGTTATATTTTGTTTTATTATTAATATATACTATTAAAAACATTTAGAGGACTGGGTTGTGGGCTTGTGGCCTAGTGATTTAATACAGTGGGAATCATTTAGTCCCACACTTAAATTTTAGTGGACAAAGATATTAGGTAAAAAATTTTCATCTGTCTAAATTTAGATGAATAGAATTAACTGATATATGTTGGTGATGAAAAATAACACATATCTAGTGAAATTGATCTTGGTGCATGAAAATTGATCTCTTTCTTTTTTATATTAGAATTGAATTACATTTTTTCACTTGCAGTAAATCAAAATGAAATAAATATCTACTTAATTATTAAACATTAAACAAAAATATATTAAGCAACATTCAAATAACATATGGTTAAACTTCCAAAAATGTAACAAAAACTTTCTACATACCACCGTAAATATTACAATAATAATCATGAAGATCATTTCTGAGTAATAATTTCCTCATTATCAATGATCTAGGTTCTAATGTTTTTTTCTTAATTAAAAAAATAAGAACACTTGCAAATTGCAATAGGTACCTCTTCAAATGCAAAGAACGTTAGAGCGTATGAAGAGATAGACATAATATCAATATTTAATTGGGGAGCATAATTAGAAGGTAGTGTTCATATAAACACATTAATTGATACAATATTTATCGTATTTACAAATAATATTTCAACATGCGATTAAACCTGTAAAGATTTTATATAATAATAGAGGTCAAACATGCAATTGCAACACACGTTCTCAAACCTAATATTCTTAAAATACTCAAATATCCTTTTATCACCACTTCATATTTTTACTACCTAGAGTACTGAAACTTACAAGTTATATCTTCTTGATTCTGTGTTAGGAGAGTTTTGTATTTTGCAAAACAAAATTTTATCTTTTTCCAACTATATGTATACTAATGGCAGAGACGAAGGAACCAAGATGATTAGTCTTGAAAATTAAGTAACAATATAAGATCTCTACCAGATTGAAAAGTATTGTTCTTGAATTGTTTTTTTAATTTTTCAGTCGCTACATTTAGAATTATAATGAAATTCCTTTTACTTTGTTAAAATCTTAGGATACACTTTTTTTTTTGCTTTTCGTTTCTCCGAGAATCTTCTCATAAAAAATAGTTAATAATATTTGCAGTTTAAAAAAATTAAGGTAATTAAAGAATAAAATCTAAGAACTAAACACAAACTATGTCAGAATTTGTTAGTGGAAATTTCATAAATAGTTAAGACTATAAAAATAATCAGACTACTTAGTTAATGTTTCTCTAATTACAAACTGTAGCTATAGTTGCATTAGCATAGTGATTATATTTCGTGTTTTTTTGAAGTTTATATGAATATACCTTACAATTAATTCCTTGACTGACATGATAAAATCAATTTTAAAATGAAAAATATCCACAAATTATGCTTAGTGTATTTCCTTAGAATTTCTTATCCAAATAGACTCTTCCTTCAGAGTTTTTTTTTTTTTACTTTAACTCCCTAAAAAATATGACAATTAATTTCTTGATTGGTGCAATAAAATCAATTTTGAAACAAAAAATATTCCATAAATCACGCTTAGTATATTTTCTGAAATATCTTACTGAAATGGACTCTTTCTTGTGAGTTTCTTTGACATGAAATTTAACTCCCAAAAAATATGTCAAAAAAGGTTATTATAAATATAAAATATACAAATATATATGGGTTAAAAAAATATAAATTAAATATACAAATTAAAATGTATACGATTATCATTAACAGATAGAATCGTATAAGATATAAAAAAAAATGCTAGACAACTATTATATATATACAATAGCTGCATATATACAAACAAGTTATTGTAAATGGTTGATGAAAATATATATTAAATACAACTCAAGGGATTATATAAATACCTCCATTTTCTTCAACATCATTTTGATCCTTGATCCTTGTATATTTCTATTGATGTAACTGAAAAACTAAAAATTGAATGAAAGCAGATGAAAATTGTTTGAATGAAAGAAAAATTATACAAAGTACACAAACAAAAATCTAAAGAAATCAATTGAAAACTGACAAGGTAGGTTACTGAAATTGGGAAAATACGATTTGGAGGAAGAAAAGAAATCTTTGAAACTTCAAAAATGAATATGCTTAAGTGAAATTAGAAGAAAAATCAAAGAGTGGGAGATGAAAGATAGTTGATTAGATGTATAAAAGAAAAGAAATAAATTATGAGAGAAGAGAGAGAGTTTTGGTTTGATACAAATAGAGTGCGGGAGGCTAGCTTAAAAATAGAAATCCTAATGACAAACATTTTTGTATATTATGCTCCATGGTTACACTTTCAGATATTTTTATTAGCAGTTATTGTTTCTTAAATTTTGCTATTCAATTTCTAATTGTATAAATTCAGAATTTATATAATTCGATTTTTGATTGTATAAATCTAAATTTTGTATATGCTTACCCAGTTATTTGTATACGATTTGTTGATACTTTTGATTTGAATAAGTTATGAAAATTCATAATAAATTATCATGTTTGCATATTTGCAACCGAAATATATAAACGAAGTTCTAAAAAATTCTTAAATGTATAAATACAAAATTTGTATATACTTACCTTATTTGTATATTGAAAGCTAAATATACAAACAAATATACCCATAGCAAACAAAACTATAGCTATGAAGCATAATTAAGTAAATTGCAACTATGAAGAGTTATTTATTTCACCTACTTGCTAAAATAGATAGTAAAAATAGTAATAATAAAGTAAAAAATAAAAAAGTGGCTAGAACAATTCGTAGTTGAAAATACACAAGGTATATAAAATATGTGTGACATACCTAAAATATATCAAGTGATATACTTTTGATATTTGAGTGAAATAATGTAGGAAAATTATGTATATAATAGGAGTATTATCGTATTGACTTCTGAAAAAGTTATATCTATGTGAGATTAATATTTAAGGTTAGAGAGTATGCTAAGAGATCGATAATGAAAATCATGATTAACGTTAGAAAAGATATGGAGAGATATTGCTTGTGTTATAATATATGTTGGCATAATGTACTGTTGTTTCTATTGGTTTTGTGATGTTTTACGTGAAATTAATTCACGTCGGTCTGTGATGCCAACTCAGCGTGTATGGTGTACTGATACTATTCTTGTTACACCTTATGTTGGTATAAGTTTGTTTCAGGTTGCTTGAAGCGTGGAATTACAATTACTTATCATCAACTACCATTTACTATGTTCTCAAGTGAAAGTTATGTGATTATTTTTCGTTATTTATTATATTTTCTATTCGTACTTTATTAGCAACTCTTGTATCTATCTAGACTAGGTCTTTGAAATGGTAGTTGCAAACTAAAAAAATTAGAGGTGTAGAATCCTAGCAAGTAGGGGTGTACAAAATCGAACCAAAAATCGAACCAAACCGTAAATCGAGTCAAACCGAAAAAAAACCTGACTAGTGGTTTGGTTTGACTTGATTTGGTATTGGAAAAAAAATCCGACTATATTTGGGTTGGTTTGGTTTTAACAAAAAAAAGTCAACCCGAGACCAAACCAACCCGACATTATATATGTAATTTTAAAATTTTATTTTATACATAAAATTTTTTACTTTGATATAAGTTTAAAATATTTCTTATACTATTTCATAGTTTTTATCTTTTAATATATTATTTCAAGTTTAAAACTTAGAATTCGGAATGGTCCAACAAAGATTATAGTTCATAGATTTTGATAATTATAATAAAACTTAAATCAAAATCAAATTAATACTAATGCAGAAAGAAAATCAACTCAACACTAAGAATGACAATAATATTGAATTTGTTCTTTAGTTTTACATTGGTTTAGACAATTAAAATACATAATCTAATTTTAATTTTCCTTAAATATTTAGTAATGTAACTAATACTTATTAAACTTATAATTTAGCATGATTTAGTACATTTAAATTATGATCTTTTTCATTATTACTTTGCAATATTTATTTTATATGATGATTTCATTATTATTTTTATTGAATATTTTTGTGTCATATCAGTACTCATCTCATATTTTGTGTTATTTTTTTAAGAAACACCTTACATAATTGTATTTTGGTTGGACTAAAGAAATATTTTGGAGCACAAGTTAATTATATGTTTGTATGCAAACTTAACCGAAAAAATCCAAAAATCTGAAAAAAATCCGAGGTTTATTATTTTGGTTTGATTTATAAATTTAAAAATTCGACACAATGGTTTGGTTTGGTATTTGAAAAACGCGAACCAACCCGAGGTTGAAAAACCCAAAAAAATCAGAATTTTATTAGTTTGGTTTGGTTTATAAATTTAAAAAATTTACACAAATAATTTGGTTTGATATTTGAAAAACCCGAATCAACCCGGCCATGTACATCCCTACTAGCAAGTAGTACCAATATAATGGTCAATTGTTTACTTCTTCCTTAATTTTCAAATTTTTTTTTATCCTTTTTAAATGTTAAAATTTGAATCTAATTCAATCTCGTGGTTCTTTATGACTTTTTCATTTTTTTCATTCTTCCATTTTGATTTTTGGTTTGAGTTCTATTTTTTCCATATTACGACATACGACAACAAATGAATTATCAAATCGAGAACATAGAGAAAGAGAAATGTTAAATAAATTGGTTAAAGTGGGGAACATCTAAGTTTTTTATCCACACATCAATAATATCATTTACAATATATTTAAAAAATTGAAAATTTAGCTAAATTATGAAAATATAATTAAACATTCTAGAAACATGTACAAACACAATATGATCTAAATATAATGGTACGTTTCAAATATCTTCACAAGCTATATATCCACAATTCTAAAATATAATCAAATGGTCATCTTTGTTTTAAATAATAGAAAGTCAATATAATCTCAAATGAAATTGGACGTATTGAGATTCTCCTTTCTTACATACATACGTAAATGAGCTTTCAAACATGATCAATTTAGTGAGAAAAATATAGAAGATATAATTGAACCCTAATACCATGATAGGACACAAATCCTCCTCATTAGGAAATCTCTCGACTGCAATTTTTTTTTGATATTTTGAATAATTAATAGAGAGATTAATACATCAACATTATATAATAATAATTTAGTTAAGTAACCTTTCAATTAATCTTTTCCAATAATTAATATTTGTAACAGTTTATATGTAGAGATTGCATTCAATGCTACTCCTAGCAACATTAAAGACCACCAGAAAATCGTAAATGCCAATACTTATTCTAATTATACATTTGACACATGTTTCTTGTTCAAAGATAATATGACTATAAAAGTGTCCTTTAGCAAAAGAAAAAGAACCAGGAATAACAAAATCAAAATAGTTGTTGAGATATTTATAAACCATTGATGATATAGAGAAAAAATGTATACCATCAAAAAATAATTTAAGAGAGTACTAAAACAAATTACTTATTCTATCTTTTAAATTAATAGTAATCCACAAGAACATACAACTGACTGTTTAGTGTGAAAACTCCTTCGAAATGGTTAATGCATGCATCAATAACACTCTTTTATATATATATATATATATATATATATATATATATATATATATAAATATATATATATAGCTTCTTAAATTAAATTGTGATATTCTAATACTTCGTACAATTTAATGTATAAATTGAGAGTTTGAGACCAATGACTTTTCTTAAAGAAAGAACTATTTGAGAAAATAAAACAACTTCCAAGAGGAGTAAAATTTTTATATTAAAAAACAACAAAAGTGACGAAATTGAAAATGATTCATATCTAGTTATCTAGAGAAGCACCATTTTCTATGACATGGTTAAACATAACAAACTATAAATCTAATTTTGTTTTGTCTTACCCCATTTATAACTAAAAAAGAAACATGACTAGAAGACAAAAGGTGCTCATAATAAAGTTGGTGAAGAGGGATAAAACAGATCAATTCCTCTTGTCCATTTCATCCCCATAAGATGGAAGTAGTAACTTGTTGGAGTTCTTCAAATTCCATGAAAATATTGTCATACGTGTTCTCCTCCTGTTCAATATCGTTTTTGTTCTCCACGACAACATCAATCATTTCATTATTTCTCTCAATTTCAAGTGTAGGTGCAGTTGGACTAATTGAAGAGGTGTCAACTTTGAAACGCTTAGCACGCTTGGACGAGGACGATGATACATTCAAGTTTAACGCTTTGGGCACAATATTTATACCTTTTGGAAGTTTGAGTTTGGAACTACTGTTGTATAAAGCAAGAGATCTACAATATGTAGGAGGATCATGGTTGTGTTCATCAGAATAGGACACCAAAAAATAGTTCTCATTTCTTGGGCTTTTCTCAATTATTTTCGTTGCTTTGCAGGATCCTGATGTACTACATTTGAAGTAGTTCCTGATATATCATATACACAAAATATAATTAGTACTGATCAAATATTACATTTGTCTACATTTACCATTAGTAGTTTTTACAACTTTTTATCACAAAAATTGAGAACTAAACAACATTTTCTACGATATGAAAAAATGATAAAGAGAGCAAACCTCGGGAATGGAGAACCTTTGATTGACTTCTGACCATACTTACGCCATGCCCATTTATCATCTGTGAGTTCCTCTTGCAACACTTCATAGACAACTCTTGTTGACTGGTTTTTTCTGATTTCAAATCAAAAATATTAAAATTAAACTCTAAACACGCACACTTAAAATTTAACAGAGGAAATAGTTACCTTTTAAAAGTTTTGATCAGAGGAGTCGGCATGGGCATAGTGAAATTAGGATAAACCTGATCCTGTATCACAAGTTGTTGTTGTAGATCTATCGATTCTTGTGGTGTTGTAGTAGTTGTTGGCACACACGTTATCATTGTTGGCAATGGAGGAAGAAAAGTTTGTTGGCAAAATTGAGTTGGTTGAATGGGATTGTAGTACATTTCTTGGTTTTTGTTTTGGTCCATGATTATGACCTGATCATCTAACTTTTCAAATTGTTGTTGTAGATCGATCAGTTCTTGTGGTGTTGTAGTTGTTCTTGGCATACACGTTATCGTTGTTGGTAACGAGGGAAGAAAGATTTGTTGGCTAAATTGTGTTGGTTGAATGGGATCTAAGTACATCTCTGGATTACCATTTTGATTCATAATTATAATATGATCATTTGATTTTTCAAGTTGTTGTTGTAGATAAATCGACTCTTGTGGTGTTGTAGACAGTGTTGGCACACACGTTATAGTTGTTGGTATTGGAGGAAGAATGATTTGTTGACTAGATTGATTTGGTTGAATGGGATGTAAGTACATCTCTTGGTTATTATTTTGGTCCGTGATTATGACATGGTCATTTGATTTTTTCTGGTGAGCAACTGAAAAATCAATAGAGAAAATCTCAGATAAATCATTAAAATTAGGTATGTCAGCAGCAACATTTTTGTCAAAAAAAATATTCCAATCATCATTTTCAGAAGTCACCAAGCCTGAGTTAGGAACTGTAACATTGTTAGGCTTATTAATGTTACAATTTCTTACTACAACGCTTAAATCCCAATCATTATCCTCCATTTTAAATCTATATATATAATTATATCTAGTTAACTGTAGAAAAATGGAATAGGGGCAAGAAAATCCTTAAGAACTTTAAAAATGTGTTTATTAAAAACTAAGGATATTTTCTGTAAGAGAGGAGTGAGGAAAAAGATCAAAAAGGGGGCTGATTAATGAAGGAAATAACTAAAAAAAAATTAGTGGGTAGAAAGTTAAATGCCAAAGACTAGGATGAAGAAAAGTGAATCAAATTGGCTTATTATATAGAGAACTCGGAGAGGTACCTACCTGCTCCGCGCATATCCATATTCAATTAACATTTAATGAACATTTAATGTTCTTTTCCATTTTATGGTGAGGATAATTAGAATATAATGAAAGAGAAGATGAAAATTAATCTCTTGTACCCAATTGTTAAAAAGTCAAAAAGTTTGATTTTTTAAATTAAAAATTTCTTAATTAGTGAAACGGAAGTCCCTTAAGAAAAGAAAATTTGCAATTTCAATAATTTTATGTCCCCTTGACTTTACAATAATCTCAAAGTAAGGCCAATAATTGTAGTCAATATTTTCTCTAAGAAATATATTGGCATAATACATATATTGGACCCTAAACTTGGCTTCAAATTTCAACTTTGACCTCCAACTTTCATAGTGCACAAACAGGCACTTTAATTATCCAACCTTTTAATAAATAAACACGTGTGTCCTACCTGGCAAAACGCGTGATGTGCACGTATTTTACGCAAGTTAGGAGTAATTTTTGAGGCCCACAACAGTAAAAAAAATGCTGAAACGACAAATCTACCCTTAATCAATCCCTTTTATATAATATCTTTATATTTCCAAATCAAAATCTCATTTCTCTTTCCTCCTCTTTCAAATCAAAATTTTTTTCCTCTCTTTTAAAACGATTTGTGCTCATATTTAGTGCAAATGGCTTCTAATTTTTTTTGTCATTGTGGAAAAAGAGCTATAACCCTTGTATATTAATTAGAAGTAATTTTTTTTTTTTAGCTCTAAAATGGATGTGTAAAGTATTTAATTAGTTGGCAGCCACTGAGTGGCTCACTAATACGCGTGGGAGCGTTTGCATTTCACGCTCTTTGCCTCCAAAAATCGCGTGTTTATTTATTAAAAGGTTGGATAGTTAAAGTGTCTGTTTGTGCACAATGAAAGTTGGAGGTCAAAGTTAAAATTTGAAGCCAAGTTTAGGGTCCAATATATGTATTATGCCAAATATATTTAGTGCAACATGACCACATCACATAAGAAAATGTTAATAACTTTGATAAAGCAGCAATATATGTTATAGATGCTTCAGATTTTTAGATGTAGTGTATTGAAAAGGGAAACTACACGCATGCACTTCCTAACTTTGATGCACCACTCAAAATATTGTTAAATACAAAAGTCTACATAAATTAAATTAAAAAAAATAGTCCAGTACATAAAATATTTTGTGTACAAAAGTCTACATAGACTAGATCTAAAGACAACTCAATACATTAAACATTGTGTTCACACATAATTAAATAAAATCGTATCCGAAGAGACCGTGTGATGTAGAAAGTCTTTTCTAATACAAGCATTAGTGGTTGCTTGCATCTTAGATAGACTAGATTCTCATAATTAAAAAAATAAAATTGTTGACATTGTATGAGGTGAAATTCGAATTTGGCACAAGGACTGGTTGAAATTTGACACATAATAGCATCTTAATGTAAACCCTTGCAGGAGAGAAATATGATCTCATCTACTTGTAAGAAAAACATCATTGAAAAGCTCTAATAATACAAAAGATTCATCTTCTAATTATTTCTTGCTCTTATTTTTACTTGTCATTATATTTACACTTATTATTATCCTTGTTCTTCATACAATTTACAATAACAGCAATAAAAATAACATATTTAGTGTAAACGCATAAGTGAGTTGAAAAGGATAATGTGTACTGTGTAATAATCAGTTTTACTCTTACCATGTGAAACTAGGATAATTGTTCTTATTGTTGTCCTTATTCTTAGCATAATTTCTACTCTCTAATTTATTTTGATATACCAATTTAGCCACAAAGAAAAGGAGTTTGATTGATCATAGTACATTTGTCTTTATCCTTGTTTTTAGGGATAAGGCATAAGTAACTCGTAGACTATGATCGAAATTTTAGAGACACACCTTAACTAAACTAAGGTCCTATTACCCACCTGAAATCATATATTTTGTAATTTTGTACACCTTTTGGCTTATGTGGCACACTCCCTGACTCCACGCAATTGAGGCACATGGCAGATATCTTGATGCCACGTAAGCCAAAAAAGTGTACAAAATTATAAAAAATGGGTTTGGGGGGGGGGGGGGGGGAGGGGGTAAAAGGACCTTAGTTTAGTTAAGGTATGTCGTTGTAATTTCGATCATAGTCTAGAGAGGTACTTGTACCCTATCCTTTGTTTTTACAAATTCAACTTTTAAATGAATAGTAGCAATTTTTCTGGTAAACAACCATACTGATCACTTTGAAGAATTAGTATGTCCTAATGATTAAATTTATAAGAGGATGATTACAATTTCACTTTACGTTCAAGAAATCTAAAGTTCAAATACCGTTAGAAGTTCTAGTGTCTTTTATATGAGCAAGTCTTTTTTTTATCTATAAAACAATAAATTTTAACTTATAGAACTCCCATCTTTTAGTTTACTTATTACCATTATCCCCTATAAGTTTTACAAATCTTCAAAATCCTTCATTTTCGCGCATCAGATTACTGTATCTCGCGCATCAGATTAGTGTATCAGTGCTTATATTACTGTATCTCGCGCATCAGATTAGTGTATCATGTATAAAATGTACATCATATTAGTGTATCATTTATAAAATGTAATGTATCTTACTTAACGATTAATGTATCTCGCGCATCAGATTAATGTATCAGCGCTTACATTATTGTATTCGTTTGAGAGATTTCTGTAATTATAAACTTTTAAGGGATAGATTATAATTTAGCCTTAAGAGTATGTGATTTCTGTAATTTGCCCATTAAATTGTTTCCTACTATATATCCGTTCAATGTTAATCGTATTGTCTTAAGTATACATATAATTTGTTAGGAAAAATAAATTGTAAAGCATGTAAATAGGACTATATTTTCGGTAGTATTTCATAGTAAAGTATGAAATTATAATTATATTTCCATGCTTGTAAAACAAAAATAATGTCTGAGTTTTATTATTAATATATACTATTAAAAAAAATTAGAAGATTGAGTTGTGGGCTTGTTGCCTAGTGATTTAATACGGTGGGAATCATTTAGTCTCAGGCTTAAATTTTAGTGAAGAAAAATAACACACACACACACACACACACACATATATATATATATATATATATATATATAATACGGTGGAAATCATTTAGTCTCAGGTTTAAATTTTAGTGAACAAAAATAACACACACACAGATATATATATTGAATTACAATTTTGCTCTTGCAATAAATCAAACTAAAATAAAATATCTACTTAAATATTAAACACCAATATTTTAAGTAATATTTAAATATCATGTGGTTAAACTTCCAAAAACATAAGAAAACTTTCTATATAACATCGTAAATATTACAATAATAATCATGAAGATCATTTCTGAGTAATAATTTTCTCATTATCAATGATCTAGGTTCTAATGTTTTTTTCTTAATTAAAAATTTAGAACACTTGCAAATTGCAATAGTTACCTCTTCAAATGCAAAGAGCGTTAGAGCATATGAAGATATAGACATAATATCAATATTTAATTGGGGAGTATAATTAGAAGGTAGAGTTCATATAAACACATTACTTAATACAAGACTAATTATATTTACAAATAATTTTCAACATGAAATTAAACCTGTGTAGATTTTATATAATAATAATAATAGAGATCAAACATGCAACTGCAACACACATTCTCAAATATCCTTTTATCACCACTTCATATTTTCTCTAGCTAGAATACTGAAATTTTCAAGTAATATCTTCTTGATTTTGTCTTAGGAAAGTTTTGTATTTTGTACAAAACAAAACTCTATCTTTTTCTAACTATAAATTTAAGTCCTATATATACTAATAGCAGAGACAATGGAGACAAGATAATTAGTCTTGAAAATTAAGTAACAATATAAGATCTCTCCCAGATTGAAAAGTATTGTTCTTGAATTAATTTTTAATTATTTCAGTCGCTAAACTTAGAATTATAATTAAATTCTTTTTACTTTGTTAACATCTTAGGATACTATTTTTTTGCTTTTCTTCTCATAAAAAATAGTGAATACTATGTGCAGTTTTTAAAAAAATAGTTAATTAAAGAATAAAACCTAAGAACTAAGCACAAATTATGCCAGAATTTATTAGTAGAAATTTCATAAATAGTTAAGACTGGAGAAATAATCAAGCTCCTTTAGCTAATGTTTCTCTAATTACAAATTGTTGCTACAGTTTCATTAGCTATCAAGACTAATAATTGTATATTTCGCGTTTTTGTAGTTATTTATACAAATATATCTAGCAATTAATTCCTTGATTGACACGTAAAATCAATTTTGAAATGAAAAATATCCCATAAATTATGCTTAGTTTATTTCCTTAGAATTTCTTAACAAAATTGACTCTTTCTTGAGAGTTTTTTTTACATGAAATTTAACTCCCTAAAAAAATATAGCAATTAATTCGTTGATTGATATAGTAAAATCAATTTTGAAATGGAAAATATCCCACAAATCAAAGGTTAGTATATTCTCTTAGAATACTTGCAAAATGAACTCTTGCTTGTGAGTTTCTTTGCATGAAATTTAACTCACATGTCAAAAAAGGTCATTATAAATATAAAATATACAAATATATATGGGTTAAATAAAAATATACAAATCAAAAAGTGTACAACTATCATTATAATGTCAACATGCACTGGGCCCACAAAGATAGTGCCACGTAGGCCAAAAAGGGGTAGAATATTACATATAAAATAAGTTCGGGGGGTAA